AAATCTCCACAACCCTGTCTTCATTTAAGGAGCACCTTCCAAGCTTTTTGTTGTTGTGAGTGACAAGTGGATTAAGCGGATTTGGCAGATGAGACTTCAGGTAGCAGGAAGTCAAGCATGACAAAATTAAGCAGGCCTGACAGGGGATGTTGCTGAGTCAGTTTATGGGGAGAGCAATGCTCGTGGTGTTGAGCGGACGGCGCCTCGGTGGAGCGCACGCACTGGCGCACACGCCACTGCGAAGCAGAGTGGACTGAAGGCCTGCTTATCAAATCTGATGGAGCTGGAACATATGTGTGGAAAGTGGGGCTTTTGTCTGAGCGTAGAAAATACATCAGTGAGTTAGTAAGTTAGATTGTGCCTGTCAGTTTTTTTTTTATCCTCTGAAATTTGGTAATGAGTTCTTTGAGGCGCACAAAGGAAGTCTCCTRCTCTTTTAACAATGAATGAGGAACACAATAAGAGCAGATATTAAAATATGAGCACCGATTTGATCTGTCTGGAGAAACAGGGTTGTAGGTGGAGGGGATTTAAAAGGATGGAACACTTTTATATTTTATTTAGTTTTTTTTTAGCAGGAATGGATAAGCACCTTTTAGAGTTATAACCTTCAGCATCATAAAGTCTCTGTTAGAATTGCACTTTTGATACGTTAACAACGATTTGTGACACTTTAGGAATGTTAACTAATTGAACGATTTTTTTTATTTGTGATTTATTTAAATTTACCTCCCAATAAAGTTATTTTTATGCGTAGATACAATGTTGTTAATGTTCATTACATTTTGTTGACTTAATTTTCATTTCAAAACTTATTTCAACAAACAGAGAAGAGACTCAACTTAAGTAGAAATTTATGTTTCGCAAATTGCAAACTCCTAAACCGTGCTTCATATATTATTGTGATTTTTTGGCAACATGATGTTTAAAGTCTCCATAGTCTTAAGTTACATGTTTACCCAAAGTCACATCAAATTAGGTTTTAAAGCATAAATTACTGCAAAAATGTTTGACACAAAGTAAACTTTGTTTTTTCCCCTACAGGGTAAAGATTAGTTAAGCTAAAAAAAAAAAGACCAATAGCAGCCTCCCTTCATTGGGAACATTTAAATCAGCAGATGCAAATCCAGAACAAAGAATGATATGATGGGCCCCACCCATCCAGCTGATGAATTGTTCACCCCCTCTTTCCCTCAGGCAAAAGGTTGTGCAGCCTCAAAGCACACACAACAAGGCTGAATAACAGCTTCTTCCCTCAGGCTGTTAGGCTCATGAACTCAGTCTCTTAGGCTGCCTTCTGGACTCTGTTTTTAATAATGGAATTTTTATTTATTT